TATATATATATATATATATATATATTCAAGCCTTGGATCCAGAATCCGTGGATACAGAAGATCAACTGTACAGAATGTCATTAAAAGGTTATGCGGTGCAAATGCAATGCAAACTCCAGGCAAGTAGTTCTACTTGTGGGTTTTTTGTTTTTAACAGAAGCCCAAAAGCAGAGTCTGGTGCACATCTGGCTGCTTTATAGTCAATACAGCTGCATTACATATGGTCATTACAAGAACCATATGCCATTAAGGATTGGTGCCAAAGCTTTCTTGTTCTTTTCTCCTTCCCCTTTCCTCTGTTTTGCATCCTATCTTTTTAGACTTGTTAGCCTGCGCACATTGGGATCTTGTTTTTATTCATCTGTAAATAGTACTGGGGACATTTTTGCATGAAGAATGGGGCATAAATATTTTAAATAAAGAGGAAAAAGGAGCTTCCTAGCAGGATGGAGCCAATGGCCTTTGCACCCCATAAACCATATGGTGTGATGACCTGTATTTGTTGTTATTGCGTGCCTTCAAGTCATTTCCGACTAAAGGAGACCCTAAGGCAAACCTAGCATGCAATTTTCTTGGCATGATTTGTTCAGAGGAGGTTTGCCATTGCCTTCCCCAGAGGCTGAGAGCGTGTGACTTGCCCAAGGTCACCCAGTGGATTTCATGGCTGAGCAGGGAATTGAACCCTGGTCTCCAAGTCACAATCCAACACTCAAACCAGTATGTCACACTGGCTCGGTACAATCCTATATCTCAGTTATTAAATCAGGTTCCAGTGCTATCAATATATAGATATACACTCCGAACACCTGTTGTCCTGTGCAAGAGAATAGTTTTTTTTTTTTTTGTGCAATAATGATGTTCTTCAATCTTATTATTTGTTTTCTAGTTGAGAAGGTTCCCCATATGAACCTGCATCAGGACCAAGGTGACAGACTCCCCTACCTTTTTTTCCCTTTTATATATTTTATTGATTAAAACTTAAAATACACATTCATTCAATACACAGTCAATACATATAAATATATATTATATACTTATTACTAAATCATCTTATTGTATCAAGCCATCGTAACATATATTCCAAATATACTCCCAATACATCTAGGCATTTCCAGGTGAGGAGGAGTTGTCTTAAGTTATCTCAATATATCAGTTAATAATTGTGCTATTCTAATTCCTTCATTATATTCCTTATCTTTCTTTCTTATTCTCTGCTTGTCATTGCCTAACTATCTTCCTTCATCATGAGATTCCCCTACCTTTTTGAATGGCTGCTATTCAAATAGCTGGCAGTGCTGTAGCTTAATTTCTCCAGTTCGGATAAGTCAACCATGCTGTGACTAGCAAAAGAAAGGAAAAAAGACAACTCGATCACTGCATTCAAGAGCCCCTGAAAAGCTCAAGGATCTCTCACATTGCTCATGAGAATTCCTGGTTGTTGTTCAATTTTTATAACAAGAAGAAAGGTATATCAGACTATAAAGGTATTGGTCTAGGATTTTATACTATGTATTTTTATTGTTGTTAGCTGCCCCGATTGTGCTCAGAGGGGCGGGATATTATTATTATTATTATTATTATTATTATTATTATTATTATTATTATTATTATTATTATTATTATTACACTCTGTAGTGGAATGGAGCAGGTCTCAGATAAAATACATGTGAGACTGAGGCTGCATCTGCACTGCAGAATTAATACAGTTTGACACTGCTTTTAAGTGCTATGCCACAATGCTGCAGAATTCTGGGGTTTGCAATTCTGTGAGATATTTAGCCTTCTCTGTCTGGTGCCACAACAAACTACAAATTCCATAGCATTGAGACATGGCAGATATAGTGGTGTCAAACAGCATTAATTCTGTAGTGCGGCAGCATCCTGAGTCCCAGATATCAGAAATAAAGCTATGCCAGACAACATTTGCATTGTGCAAGAAGCACTCAGGGGACAGATACTGATCAGAGATGTAAGACTGCTAGAATTTTTTTAAATTAATTTTTTCATTAACAAGCAAGTGGACATTTTCAGGAAAAAATGGGGGGAAATGTGATATTTAGATTGAAAGTTACCATAAAATGTATCATATTTAATTTTGTCTGACATAAAGTGATCATGTTTGCTATATTAAAATTACAATTTATTAAAACTATAATTACAAATGAAAACTTATTTTAAATTGTCTTCTTTTTCTTTTTCTTTTCTTTTCTTTTTTTTGCTACAAATGAGCTAGAACTGCCCTTAGCCCCATATTAAAAAGGACTTTTCCAAGGGTGTTGTATTAATTTTTTGTATAGTTTTATTTTTTTATTATTTTTTATTGTTGTTTTCAATTGTTTCAACATTTTTAATAGTTTAATTCTTTTGTAATATTGATTTTCAAATGGTTTTAGCTATATAGCACTTATTTTAATTTGTCTTGAGTCCCACTTGTTTTACATCTTTCCTGTACCTGTGCCATTTCTCCCCCATTATGCCAAGAATGGAGAGACATCTTCAGAACCTTCCTGCAGCCATTTTTGGTATCAAAATGTGCAAACTGAGACAAGAAAGCCTGGAGGCAGGGGGATGGACCCCCAAGTCCATGGACTAATCAATACATAAAACGTATATTGACACATTGACCCATCCCTTCCATATTGCATTTCATTACCTGTTATAACGTGGTGAGGACGATAACTCAGTGCTGTTGACTGACTCTTTCACAAAGAGGAGGCCTTTACTATGGACAAATAGAGAGGAACATTGGTCTCAGAGAAGACAGTGCAGATAGCCAATATAGCCAATATAATACTAAAAGTAAGGGGTAAGCAGACATTTTTTCCTGGGGGCTGCCTATGACTGCATTAATGCATATATTGCCATACATAGGTGAACACATACCCATTTGCACCCCATCCATAAGAGATTCCACCTAAACACTTGGAAGAACTTCTTGGAAGTAAGAGTTGTTCAATGGTGGAACACATACTCCCTTGGAGAGTGATGGAATCCATACGCATACACAGACTTCATCCTATCTAAACAACTTGAGATGCAGAGGTTTAGATTTGTTGTTTAACTGGAGAAAACTGGGGTGGGTGGGTGGGTGGTGGACTTCCTCTGCGTTCTGCTTTCCTCAGTGAAACCATACTACTGATAGTTGTCATGAGTGAGTTGATCATGAATCAACAGTGTGATGCAGCAGCTTAAAAGTCCAATGTGCATCAACAGATTGCATCAATAGAAGTATAGTGTTTAGAGACCAAAGGAAGTAATAGTGCCAACCAATTCTGTTTGGCCAGACCTCACTGGAAGACTGCATCCAGTTATGGGCACCACATTCAAAAAGGATGTGGACAAGCTGGAGCATGTCCAGAGGAGGACAACCAAAATGGTGAAGGGTCTGGAAATTATGCCCTATGAGGAGTGACTTAGGGAGCTGGGTATGGTTAGCCTAGAGAAGAGAAGGCTAAGAGGTGATATGATTGCCCTGTTTAAATATTTGAAAGGATGCCATGTTGAGGATGGAACAAGCTTGTTTTCTGCTGCTCCAGAGACTAGAACCCGTAGCAATGGATGCAAGCTAGAGGAAAAGAGATTCCACCTAAACACTTGGAAGGACTTCTTGGCAGTAAGAGTTGTTCAACGGTGGAACACACACTCCCTCGGAGAGTGATGGAATCTCCTTCCATCTAGATGACCATTTGGCGGGTATGCTTTGATTTGAGTTCCTGCATGCAGGAGGTTGGACTGGATGGCCCTTGTGGTCTCTTCCAACTCCATGCCTCTATGTGTGCAATTGTGCAAGAGGATACTCATCCCCATGCACCATTTTGCTTATTTAAATCATGCTTTTTGGAATTTATATATTCTTAAAATATTTTCAAGCTGTGGATGCTTGAATCTGTGGATAAAAAAATCCATGGATTTGGAGGGCTGACTATATGAATAAACAAATGGCTGTTTAGAACTTTAGTGCCACCTGCCTAAGGTGCTCATCTTTGTGGCAATAACACATGAGTGAATTATACAAATATACACAGCAGTTTGCAACAGTCTTTACCTTCTGCTGTCTGTATCACAATTGTCCTTGTAGAAAGGTACCCTATGGCTTCTTGAGGAATCAGTCCCTGGGTCATTTCTGAATGGGTAGTAGATCCTACTAGGAAGTAAAATTCATTATTAGCAAGCAGATCAGTTTTAACAAAAGAGTGAGAAACAGATGACATGTCATCTTGTTTCTTATTTCTAAAATGGTTTTAACTTTGTTGTTTTAACGTATGTTTTAATGTTAGGATTACTTCATTATATTTTAACTTTTGCAATTAATGTCTCAGTTTTAACTTTTTAAATTATTGTAAGCCATCTTGAATCCCACTTTGGGAGAAAGGTGGGATATAAATCCCAGAAATAAAGTAAAATAATAAATGAATAAATCTTTAAAACAGAGGAACGGGATTTTTTTCCCCAAACAACTGTGTATACTCAGTTTGAGTATTTCAAATGTTTCTTCCGCAAACTGTGGCTTTGTCCACTTTCTACCTTTTTTATACCAGTTGTTCTTAGCAACCTAGACACTCACTTTGCAAAGATAATGATTTTTTTTCCAGCTTTCAAGCTGCAATATTTTATTGTAGTGAAAAGCCAGCCCTTTCTCCAGCTAACATCCTCCACTTTAGTTCTGAGTACACTAAGTGAAAAATTAACTGCAAAAGTATTACAGGCTCCTATTAGATACTGAAGTTAAAATACTGTGTGTGTTATGTGTACAGGTTTCTATGCATGTTTGTGTGTGCTGTGGGTTAGCTGGTCGTTTGCAGGATTTCCTGAATGTTCGCTGGAGCGTTGTGAGTTTGTTTCACAGAAAAAATGTAGTCCTTATTTGTTCTTGTGTGCCTTCAAGTTGTTTCCGACTTATGGCAACCCTGACACGAAGGCAGAGTTTGCCTTTGCCTCCATCTGAGAGAGTGGGACTTGCCTAGGGTCACTCAGTGGGTTTCCATGGCCCAGTGGAGTTTTGGACCCTAGTCTCCAGAGTCATAGTGCAAACTGCCAGAAATAGTGCAAATTGAGTCCACTTTAAGGGTTACAGTTAGTGCTAGGGAATAATGGGAATTGTTTTTTTCTGAGACGTTGAGCCTTCTCTGTCAGAGAGCTCTGGTGCCACAATAAAATACAGTTCCCATGATTCCCTAACCCTAACCCTTAAAGTGGACTCAATTTGCACTATTTCTGGCAGTCTGCAAAGGCCCTTAGTCCACTGTTCAAACCACTACTCCATGATGGCCCTTGTGGTCTCTTCCAACTCTATGATTCTATGATTCTGTGAATAACAACAAGAACAACATTCCTTTGAAGATGAACCCATTGTATTCTAGAACTCTTGGCTTCCTTCCTTCCTTCCTTTATTAGCTAATTATTTGTGTTGTCCACATGAGCTATTTATGAAGCTCTACCATAATATGTGTTGTTTCCCAATGCAGTTATTGGAGATTATCACACGGGGTAAGAGGGGGATCGCTCCCATCCTTACCCCATCCTTATCAGTTCCATGCTTATCCAGTCCTTGTCCCATCAGTGGCCTTGTCATTGTATTAACATGAGTTTCCATTAATACAAACTGATGGGGCCATGCCACTTCAGGGACTGGAGAAGGATGGGATAAGTGCGATGTTTGAAAATCTTATTGCAATCACGCAAAAAGAACAGGTCACAGATGCGATAATGAAGACATTGAGTAATAATGGGAC